GACAGCCAGGCATGGGAAAGGAGGAGAGGACAGGAAAGGCCAGTATGATGGGCGTGGTGTGCAAGGGCTGCTGGGAGGTCCACAGGAATAGGAAGAATCCCCATCCCTATTACACCCTCCCCAAGACCCAACTCACAAAGTATACGGCTCCAAAGCTGCCATGGCCAATTTCCCGGAGGTCAGAGAAGAGCTTTTCTGGGTCATCCTTGAAAAAGAGCTCAGCCACATCAGGGTCCTTCAGGCTTCCGGCCCGGCCCCCAGCTGGCATGGTGGCCCCTGGGGGCCCTGAGAGTGGGGCCTGGCCTGGGGAATGGAAATGGGACCTTTAGAGCAAGGATCAGGCCTTTAGGGAGAGGAAGGGACCCATCAAGTTTCTGCCATCTCCTCCCCTCATTCCCTGATGAGGGGGAGGCACTGCTGAGGAAGGGGAGGGGGAGATTAGGAACAACATCAAAGCTCCAAAAAATGAAGTTGCCCGGGCAACCAGATCACGCGGGCTAGGTCCCTGGAGTCCCTAAAACTGCTAGGAAGATTCTGGGAGGCTAAGCATCCTCACCACCCGCTTCAGCGCTCAACAAGTTCCCATTTCCCTACAGCCCCTGTATCTCCCCTCAAGGATAAAACATTCTGCCTCCCAGGCAGCACTCCAGAGCCCCAAGTGTCCTGTCCCACAAGTCCCATACCCCAACTGTTTCCAGGCACCTTCCTGTTCCCCTTGGTGCTGAGGCCCCCTCCTCCCTCAACCTCTCACACCCTGGAGAACAGGAAATGGCCAGGCCGGAGGCGGTGGAAATCCGGCCATTGTTACAAGTGGGTACTGGCCCAGAGGGGCCAGCAGACTCACTCTCAAAAAGGGGATGGGGGAGATCTAAGATGGGAATAGGGATATAAATGGCATCTGGCTGTGAGGGCCTCTCTGTGGTCTGGGCTACCTTACTTGTCCAGTCCAAATGCATAAGCATCACACACAGGTACAGGACATTTACAGGGTACAAATAACATTTATTGAGCAGGTACAATAAGCACCTTACATGCATTATCTCTATTCAGTCCTCACCACAACCTTATGAAGCAAGTATTATGATTTCCGCTATCTTACAGATGAAGAAACAGGCTTGGTAAGGTTAAGTGCCTTGTCCAAAGCTGGTCCTCCATCAGTATGATTTCAGAGCATCCCTTCAAAATAGGCAGGGCAGAGTCATGATCACCATTTCCCAGGTGAGGTCACTGAGGCAAAGAAAAGAAAAAGGACTTCTCCAAGGTCAGAGAACAGGACCTTCTGCTCCCTGGTTAGGCCTGTGTGCCCATTACTCTCTTGGCTGTCACCCCAAGCTCAGCTTCCCTCTCACAGGAAGCCTGTCCTGACCACTTCAGCCGTTGGGAAGCACTCCTAGGGCACCCAGCCAAACACCCGGAGAAAGTTCCTGCAGGATGCCAGAACCAGGACCCTCAAGGAGATTCTAAGACAGGTTCCAGCCTAAGCACTTGTCAGAATTTAGGCACAAAGGAGCCTTCAGCAGAGCTGGACTCCTGGGGCAGAGTTCTAGCTACTTAAAAGCACCTAACGATTTTAGCATGTAATTTATTCTGTCATGCATTGTTTCCTGTTGTGTTATTAATTTTGTCTCCTCAGCCCAACTGGAAGCCGGAGGGCAAGGAGGGAGCCTGACTCTCCAGTGGGCCCCCAGGGTGCAGAGGGCTCAGAATAACCTGGGAGACTGATTGATTGCTCTCTGCTCAGCCCTCAGCAGCTCCCAGGCTGCTGCTCAAAGCAGGCCCTTTTCTTCCTTCTGCCAGCAATAGTGCCAAGCACCCCTCACCCGCACCATACACCCACACACAAAGGCAGGTGCTCTCAACTTGCCAAAAGAATCTTCCTGACCTCTTTACCAACACAGGGCCCCAGAATGCCAATCTAGGACCCTAGGCCACATGGAAGGGGTGCCATCCACTGGCAAAATATCATGCAGGTCCCCTTCCTCATAATAACAACAAATACTTGAACAATGACCAAGGTCTGTGCTAAATCATAACCACCTTCCAAAACGGGTAATGTCATCTCCAATCTACAGATGAGGAAACCTGTATCTATCTGTTCCTAAGCCATACTACCAGTACATCCCATCTGCAATGTACAGCAACAGGGTTTTCAGTAAGTTCCTTCTAGTTCTTGGTCTTCTCTTCAGTGAAATGGATTACAGCATGGAGCTTTTGTAAGATTTTAATGAGATTTCATACTTAGGAACACCATGCAGACACTCAGCATATGGATTTTTCCTTCCCTGCTTCCAAGGTCCCCACAAAGCTTTAATCTTTTGGGAGATCATTCCACCCCAACAGCCTGGCTTGAGCAGTTCAAAGATGCACTAAGGCTACCATTTGTCAACAGAGAGCCCTCTCAGGAATCCAGGCCAAACTCTGGGATCAGGGTAAAGATGAAGGTCACAGTGGATAGAAAACTCCATGAGGCAGAAGCAAAAGCCAGAGCCTCCCATCAGAAAAAACTTCTGAGTAGAGCCCTCCTGGAAAGGAAGCTTATCTCATTCCCATTCTTAAATCTGACCCCAACCTGGTCTCCTAGGGACCCCTAGGCTGAGCCCAAACTCAGAGGAAAAGAGATGGCAAGAACCAGGCATGCATCAGGGAAAGATGTGACTGAGGACCTGAGTTCAAATTCTGATTCTGCCACTGTGTGATCTTGGGCAACCTCTCTGGGCCTCTACGTTCTCAACTGTAAAATGGGAAGATGCCAATAAAAGAGACCCACAGGGTGAATGAGGGGGATGTCACATGAGAGAATGGCTATCAAAGCACTTTGTAAAAGATCGTTTGACAAATGGATGCGATTATGGACACCATCACAGCAAGAGGTTGGAAAGTAACTGCAGTTAAGGGGAAACATTGCCAGGCACCTCAAAACACACACGTATACACACAAACACACATACACACACTTCCTTGCAAGGACAAGAAATCCAACCAGACCAGGCCTGAAAAGCAGATAAGCAGACCCACCATGGGAATCAGAGGTATGGGAATCAACACCGCAAAGCAGTCAGGAGAAAGGGGCATATCAGGGAGGAGGTGGCTGTGAGGGGCAAAGTGAAGGCAAGAAGACTGAAGTGCAAATCCATCTGATTAGCTGAAGCACCCTAGGGTGTGAACCCCGGTGACATCAGAGACCCTGTCACCTGAGGTCCCCCACCAACCAGACACAATGAAGGGAAGAGGAAGGGGAAGAGGGAGACAACAGAAGCAAGGCTGGCCAGAGGCTGACCACTGGCTCAGCTGGGCTTCCCCATCCTGAGGAGAGGGCCTACCGAAGTCCAGCTTCTCAGAAAGGCGCACCCTTTCTTCTCAGAGCTAGACACAGGGACCCGCGCCCCTGCACCCCATGTCTCACCTGGTAGGGGTCACTATGGTGCCCCAGCGCCTCCGCTTCCGCCTGGGGTCCTCCAGCGGCTCTGCCAAGCAGGGAGAGGGGCAAGGAGACCTTTCCCCTTGCCACCTCTTCCTCGGCTTTCGCCCTTCCTGAGGGGCGGGCCTGGGAAGCCTCCCCTCGAGGGGAGGGGGTGACAACCTGATCTGACCTCGCGGTCCAGTCCTCCCCCTCCTCGAGGGCGACAGTTGCCGAATTCCGGATTTCTGATTGTGGGGTCTGAACCCCGAATATTTGAACGGGAGGGAGATCGAATCTGATATTTGAATGCCTGGGGAATGAACCCCAGATACTGGTGCACGAAAGGGCCTGAACCCGAGATTTGAAATTCAATGAAATAGAGACCCAGGTTTAGAGAGGTTGGGACTCGAGTCCCGGATTTCTGAACTATGGGGACTGATACCCGGGTAATTGAGAAGCGAGGGACAAAGCCCGGAAATTTGGGACCCAGGGGCCTGAGTCCTAGGTCTTCGGCCACCGACTGGGGGCCCACCCCGAGGACGTCCGGCTGCACGGCCCCTCTCACGCAGGGGTCCGAGGGTGACAGCCCCCCACTCCCGGCCCGGCCTCCTCCCTCTCCCTTCTCTCTTCCGAGAATAGCTGGAAGATTGTAGCTAAGGCGCTGCTGACGGTCCCCGCGCCCTCTCTGCCTCGCCTCCTCTCCGTCTCAGCCTCTCTCCGTACCACAGCCCCGATCTTGTCCCGGCCTCCCTCTCCCTCTTCCTCCCAATTCCAAGATGGAGACCGGGCGGGAGCGCGCAGGCGCGGTAGGGACGCCGGGCCAAAGGGGGCGGGGCTGCAGAGGACTCAGCCCCGCCCTCTCTCCTCACTGCCGCGGCCCGGGAGACCGGCAACTGCCGAGCCCGAGTGCGCGCGCGCCGCGCCACGCGGACCCCGGGCCGGAGTAGGCGGGGAGAAGGGCTAGGCTTGGAAGGGGAGGAGCCCGGCACTCTGTCCCAGGACTGGCGGTGGAAAGAGCTGCGGCGCATGCGCCCGTCCCGCCGTCGCGCTTAGCCTGAGCTTGTTGCTAGGGGAAGCTTTGAGGGGGCGCGGGTGGACTGACAGCAGTGGCGATCTGCGCGTGTGCGCAGGATGGAAGTTGGGAGGGGTAAGGGAAGCTGCCGCTGGGCGAGGAAAAGGCGGGAAAATGGACTATTCCGACGTTAGCAACCGTCTAGACTGGACGAGGGACCCCAAGTGCGAGGAATCGTTGCGCATCGACGCTGGGAAAACTCAGTTGATTAGATCTCTTAAGGAATCTGAGGTGCTGCAGGTTGCATGACATGCCAAGGTCACAGTGCATTTATGGCACAGCATCACCATGACATGACACCCCACCCGCCCAACTAACTGTAATTATCCATTTTATTTCGTAGAAGAAAACAAGACAGGTGTTTTCCAAAGCCAAGTCAACCGTGGGAGGGCTGAAGTAACCTATGCCCTATGCAAACCTGTGTCCAAACTAGAGAGTCAACAGGAAAGAGTCTCTCAAAACTTCTAAGCCTGCCTACCCTAAAATCCCCACCTCAATCCAACCCCTAATAAACACCTTATACACCACTGGGCAAAAAAGCTTTTATTTTCCCCCACATTCCAGCTTTTCAATTTTTTCTAAAACCTTTTCCAACTCAGAGCCAAGGCCAAAGAAGATTCACACCTAAGGAAAAAGAAAATAAAACAACAGAACAAGTCAGAAAGATGCTAGGGGAAGGCAGAGGGAGTGACAGCTAGAGACCAATACAGGCATTTAATCTCAACTCGGGTAGCCTCAGGACCCTGGGGTCTGCCAGGGGCCAGGAAGCCCTCGTTTCCCAATCCAAGGTTGAGAGGGTCCTGTCATTTCCTGTCCCAAGTAGGTGGTTGGGGCCTTTAGGCACAGCCATCAGCAAAATAAGCAGAGTTGATCTTGAGCTTCCATTTCCTCTGGCCTGATCAGTTCCCTGGGCCTGAACTGTTTCTACTTCTCCCATAGTGACTTCCTAGGGGACTGCAGCCAGCTCAAGCTGAGACCAGTTCAAGAGCTGGATGCATAACACATGGGGCTCTGAAATTATATGCGCCCCCTCTGACAAGTGAAGATTTTTTGCAGAAATATTTTTTCCTTTAGTGAGCTGACGTGTGAACTAGTTAACCAATATGTCCCCCACCCGCTGCTACGTTTATGAAGCTGATTCCCTCCAAAGATCTTGTCAATGAAATCAACTTTTTCTAAATGTAATGATGACTAAATGGAAGAGAGAAGGTGCCTGTCAAGTTCTTGGGCACATAATATGTATGTCCTCAGTAAATGGGCATCATCAATTAGACTCTTCTGAGAGGTTCAAGTTGAATTTTACAAAATTTCCATCGTAAAACTGGGTATCAGGATTTCAGGACAAAAGCAAGACAAACATGGTTCGTATCCAGGACGAATCATCAAACGAGAACTTTCTTAACTCACCATTGTTACCCAAATGCTTGGATGTGAACTAGAGTTATGGATGAGTCTTAAAATCACAATGTTTCTTGAAAGAAGTCAGCCACAAAAGAATATGTATAATTCTGTCTATATAGGTTCAAAAAAAGTAAAACCAAACCATATTATTTAGGAAGGCATACCTGGCAATAAATTATAAAGCAGGACAGTAATTATTTTTTTTTTTTTTTTTTTTTTTTTTGAGACAGAGTCTCACTCTGTCGCCCAGGCCGGAGTGCAGTGGTGCGGTCTTGGCTCACTGCAACCTCTGTCTCCCAAGTTCAAGCAATTCTCCTGCCTCAGCCTCCTGAGTAGCTGGGATTACAGGCGCCTACTACCACGCCCGGCTAATTTTTTTGTATTTTTAATAAAGACAGGGTTTCACCATGTTGGCCAGGTTGTTATCAAACTCCTTACCTCATGATCCACCCGCCTCGGCCTCCCAAAGTGCTGGGATTACAGGCATGAGCCATTGTGCCAGGCCGACAGTAGTTATTTCTAAGGGGAGGGAGGGCATTGTCAGGAAGGAAGGGACCATGGGGGGTTTCTGGACTGCTGGTAATATTCTCTTCCTTCCCTCAGTGGTATTTGTAAGTATCCACTTTATAACAATTTGCCAAGCTGTCCTTTTATGCTTTTGGACTTTTCTACATGAGTGTTAAATATTTTATAATAAAAAAGTAAAAGTAATTAGAAAAATATTGAATGCTGACGGTGTCAAATTGTTCCCAGTCCCTAAGGGACAGCTGTGGTTGAAGAGGTTCTCAGGGACTCAGAAGCAGCAGCACTTGAGGATAAGTGCAAGGATCTGCTCTACCCCAGTTACAACCTCCACCCCCGCCCCATTCCCTGCTCCCACAGGACTGGAGCAAAGAGCCTCACCTGAGAAACGAGTCGGGAACTAGGCCAGTGCCCTCAGAGCCGGGTTCTAGACCAGTGGGACTCCCGGCGCGGGTGGAAGCACACAGCAGTGACACAGCAGAGGCCACAGAAGAGAAGCAGGAAGGAGCCCAAGACCAGCAGCCTAGAGCCACACAGAGCCAGCTCCTCCTAGAGAGGGGTACAGGGAGGAGAGGAGGACGACATCTGAACCCAGCCCAAGGGCCATAGAGGGAGCCTCCATGAGGGAGACAGCTCTCCACATCTAGGGAACAACTGAAAGGAAAATGTTATTTTCGTATAAGCTGACATTTGTCTTTTTTTTCTTTTTCATTGAGACAGGGTCTCACTCTGTCACCCAGGCTGGAGTGCAGTGGTGCGATCTCGACTCACTGCAACCTCCGCCTCCTGGGCTGCGGCAATTCTCCCCCTCAGCCTCCTGAGTACCTGGGACCACAGGTGTATGCCACCATGCCTGGCTAATTTTTTTTGGATTTTTTGTAGAGACGGGGTTTCACCATGTTGCCCAGGCTGGAACATTTGTCTTGATAGTTTAAAAACAACTTTCTTACCCAATTATCAACCTGAACCCTCATCATGACTCCGTGAGACGGGAAACTTCATTACGATCCACCTTTTAAAGATGTGCCAGCAGTGCTGGATGTAGAAACCGCATCTCTGATTCCAGCTCCCAGGTCGTGCTCCTCATGGGGTCTTTTTCTTTTCTTTTTTTGGGGGATGGAGTCTCACTCTGTTGCCCAGGCTGGAGTGCAGTGGCATGAGCTCAGCTGGCTGCAACCTCTCCCTTCCAAGTTCCAGCAATTCTGCCTCAGCCTCCCCGTAGAGTAGCTGGGATTACAGGTGCCCACCAAAACATCTGGCTAATGTTTAAATTTTTAGTACAGACAGGGTTTCACCATGTTGGCCAGGCTGGTCTTGAACTCCTGACCTCAAGGGATCCACCCACCTTGGCCGCTCAAAGTGCTGGGATTACAGGCGTGAGCCACCGCACTTCATGGGATCTCTTCAAAGGTGAGACTGGACTGTGCAGCAGCCTCCTGACTGATAGCCCTCCACTCAGACAGTCTCCTTTACCCAGTACTAGGGAAGCAGGTCTCTCTCCTCTTTGAAACTCCTCAGAGGCCCCCACAACCTTCAGCATCAGGTCATAGCCCTCTAGACTGCATTCATAGCACCTGTCAATCAGATCCCTGGGGTCTCTTGCCTTTTTCCTTCCTAAGCCTCTCATCATGGAGTGTTCCCAAAGGCTGAACACTTCTTATTTTTTCCTTCTTGAGATAAGGTCTCCCTCTGTCACTCAGGCTGGAGTGCAGCAGCACAATCATGGCTCACTGCAGCCTCGAACTTCTAGGATCAAAGGATCCTTCCACCTCAGCCTCCTGAGTTGCTGGGACTACAGGTGTGCAGTGCAGCACTACACCCTGTTAATTTAAAAAATATATATATGTTTTTTAAGAAACAGGGTCTTGCTGTGTTGCCCAGGCTGATCTTGAACTCCTAACCTCAGGCATTCTCCTTGCTTTGGCCTCTCAAAGTGCTGGAATTACAGGTGTGAGACCTAACTGAACACTTCTCTTTTTTTTTTCTTTTTTGAGATGGAATTTCGCTCTGTCGCCAGGCTGGAGGACAGTGGCACAATCTTGGCTCACTACAACCTCCACCTCCTGGGATCAAGCGATTTTCCCACCTCAGCCTCCCGAGTAACTGGGATTATAGGCACCTGCCATCATGCCTGGCTAGTTTTTGTATTTTTGTAGAGACGGGGTTTCACCATGTTGGCCAGGCTAGTCTTGAACTCCTGACCTCAGGTGATGTGCCCGCCTCGGCCTCCCAAAGTGCTGAGATTACAGGCTCCACACCAACCAACACTTATCAATCCCTAGACCTACACCCATCCTGGTGCCTTTGTCTGGAGTGTGCCTCCCCATCTCCTGAAACTTCTCTACTGCAATCCCTGTCCAAATATTCCTCATTCTTCAAGGATCATCCTGACCACACGGAAGGTGTGAGTTGCAACCCTGGTTCTGCCACTTAACCAGTTGTTTGGCCTTTAGCAATTCACTCCCTCTCTCTAAACTGGTTTCCTCATCTGTAAAGTGGAATAACACCTACCTCAAAAGGCTATTTTAAGATCAAATGAGTTAATGAACCCTGAGAGCACTCTGTGCATTTTAAACTACTGTACACAATGCTCTTTTGTAAACGACACCTCCTCTGTGAAGCACTCTCCATAAATGTTCAAGTTAGGGTTAATGGCTCCTTACTTTGTGTTTGCATAACACTCTGCTCACATCTGTCTAATAGCAATTAGCCCATCTGCCTCTTATTACAGCTTCTGAAATCCTTTGAGGAAGAGATAATGTTTGAAAGACAACAGTCAATAATAATAGCTGTCATTTATCAAATCTCTATGTTGTGCTGGACACTTCACAGTCATTCTCATTTAATCCTTATTTGGTGGAATTAAGAGATAGGGTCATGTTTTCTGTTTTACAGATGAGGAAGCTGCCACTCAGAGATGTTTAGACACTTGCTGTAGGTCACACAGCCCCCAAGGCAGGGTTATAAAACCTGTGCTTTTTCTACAAGGTAGAATTGCTTCCAGGAACCTTCAAGATATAGCAGTCAGCATGGAGTCTACAAAACCCTAGCGACCGATCTGAGGCTCTTACCGAAGTGAGCAGCTTGGTTAGCACAAGGCCTTCGTGGCTCCAGACCCTAATGCACTCCTCACCCATTCTAGGGCTCAGGGTGACATTTCCGGCCCCCTCCTCTGAACAGGATATGGGTGGCTGGCTGGAGGGCAGGATTCCTGGAACAGCACTAAAATACAAGCAGGTTCCTGCAGTCCTTTCTGTGGTCACCCTGGCTGTGATGAGGACCAGTTGTCCTGCAGCAGATCCTATGAAAGGCACAGAAGAGAAGATGGAAGAAAATGAGGGGTGAGGCGGGAGCTTCCATCTTCACACTTTCATGCTTTTCTTGTATTTCTTCACATTTTCACACTTTCACACTTCTTTTCTTGTATTTCCTTTTTTTTTTTTTTTTTGAATGGGGTCTCACTCTGTCGCCCAGGCTGGAGTGCAGTAGCATAATCACAGCTCACTGCAGCCTCAGCCTCCTGGGCTCAAGTGATCCTCCCACCTCAGTCTCCTGAGTAGGTGAGACTATGTGAGCCCAGAAGTTTGAGATTAGCCCTGGCAAAATGGTGAGACACCATCTCTATAAAAAATACAAAAATTAGCCAGCTTAGTGGCCCAGCTAATCAGGAGGTTTGAGTTGGGAGGATCACCTGGGCCCAGGAGGTCAAGGCTACAGTGAGCTGTGATTGCACCACTGCATTTCATTCCGGGCAACAGAGTGAGACCCTGTCCCGGGGTGGGGGTGGGTGGGAAGCATACACCACCTGCCTGCCTAATTTTAAAAATTTTTTGTAGAGACAGGGTCTCACTGTGTTGCCCAGGCTGGACTCAAACTCTTGGGCTCAGGCAATCTTGCTACCTTGACCTCCCAAAATGCTGCGATTCTAGGCATGAGCCACTGCACCTGGCCCTACTCAGTTTTTAAGGCTTTCTATAATACCAGGTGATTTGGCATGGATTCTATTCAATAAAGTATTCCATATACCATTATTTATATCACTGAGAAGTGAAAATAACTTTGTATCAATATAAACACAAATTAAGTTGTAATTTAAATTAACTTAAATTACAATCAATACAACAATGATACCAATACTCGCAAGGCTGCAGTGAAATGGGCAGATACACATTGCCAATGTCAGTTTGCAAAAACTAGCTCATCCTTTTTAAGAAAGCAGTTTCCCACTTGGTATCAAAATCCATTAAAAGGTTCTCACCCTATTTTAAATTAGTGGGGAGAAGATGGCCTCAGTAAATGGCCTTGGGAAAATTTCCACGTAGAAAAAATCACAGCATCTGTTATCTCATAACATAAAGTCCAGATGTGTTAAAGAACTATACAAACTAAAAAAAATCTTAAGAATTAAAATACAGAAGAATATTTTGTTTTATTTTATTATTTTTGAGATGGAGTTTCACTCTTGTTGCCCAAAATGGAGTGCAGTGGCGTGATCTCAGCTCACTGCAATCTCCACTGCCCGGGTTTAAGTGATTCTCCTGCCTCAGCCTCCCGAGTTGCTGGGATTACAGGTGCCTAACCCCATACTCAGCTAATTTTTTGTATTTTTAGTTAGAGCTGGGGTTTCATCATGTTGGCCAGGCTGGTCTTGAACTCCTGACCTCAGGTGATCCACCTGCCTTGGCCTCCCAAAGTGCTGGGATTACAGCCATCAGCCACCGTGCCTGGAAAGAATATTTTCTAATTTTAAAATGAGGAAGGCCTTCCTATGAAAGACACAAAATCTAAAGGTCTTAATAAAGGACAAGAGTGATAAACCTAACCTCATAAAAGGACTTCTATGCAATAAAAGATAAGTTAAAAAAACAAGCAACATATTGGTTGAAAATACCTATAATATATTTAAATGACAAAAAGTTTTATTATCTAGAATAAAGACCTTCTATAAATCAAGAAGAAAAAGACAAATAACTTAAAAGAAAAATGAGCAAAGGAAACAAACAGGTAATTCACAGACAACATGAAAATGAGCAATAAACCATAAGACGAGGTTCAATGCTACTAGCAATCAGGAGAAAGTAAATTAAAACAATTGGGTATTGTTCTCTAGTAGGTTAAAAAAGAATAAAGAATAAAAAAATAAAAAGAAAAATAAATAAATAAATAAGTAAATAAATAAAACAATTGGGTAACAGGCCAGCCCTGGTAGCTCATGCCTGTAATCCCAGCACTTTGGGAGGCTGAGGCAGGAGGATTACTTGAGCCCAGTAGTTTGAAATTAGCCTGGGCAACATAGTGAGACCCCATCTATATTAAAAAAATGTAAAAATTAGCCAGGATAGTGGTCCCAGCTACTAGGAGGCTGAGTTGGGAGGATCACCTGGGCCCAGGAAGTCAAGGCTACAGTGAGGTGGGAATGCACCACTTCATTTCAAGTCGGGCAACAAAAGTAAACCCTGTCTCAAAAAAAAAAAAAAAAATCCGGAAAAAAAAAACCCACAAACAAAAAAGCAGCACAAGAAACAAAGGAGAAAAATAGATAAATTGGACTTTATCAAAATTAAAAAAACTTTTGGCTGGGCATGGTAGCTCATGCCTGTAATCCCACCATTTTGGGAGGACAAGGTAGGTGGATCACTTGAGGCCAGGAGTTCAAGACCAGCCTGGCCAATATGATGAAACCCTGTCTCTACTAAAAGTACAAAAAATTAGCTGGGTGTGGTGGTGGACACCTGTAATCCCAGCTACTTGGGAGGCTGACACAGGTGAATGCTTGAATCTGGGAGGCAGAGGTTATAGTGAGCTGAGACTGCACCACTGCACTCCAGTCTGGATAATGGAGCAAAACTCTTGTCTCAAAAAAAATTAAAATTAAAATTAAAAACTTTTGTGTTTCACAGAACCATCAACAATATGAAAAAAACAACTCACAAAATGGAAGAAAAGATCTGTAAATCATTTCTCAGACAAGGGACTTGTATCTAGAAAGTATAAAAAACTCTTTTTTTTTTTTTCCTGAGATGCAGTTTTGCTCTTGTTGCCCAAGCTGGAGTGCAATGGTGTGATCTTGACTCACTGCAACCTCTAGCTCCCAGGTTCAAACAATTCTCCTGCCTCAGCTTCCTGAGTAGCTGGGATTACAGGTGCACGCCACCATGCTTGGCTCAGTTTTTCTAAGTAGAAACAGGGTTTCACCATGTTAGCCAGGCTGGTCTTGAACTTCTGACTTCAGGTGACCCTCCCACCTCGGCCTCCCAAAGTGCTGGGATAACAGGTGTGAGCCACCATGCCCGGCCACAAAACTCTTATAATAACTAAAAGACAAATTACCCAATTTAAAAAATGGACAAAGACTGTGAATACATTTCTCTAAAGAAGACACACAAATGACCACTGAATGCATGAAAAATCATTATCAACTCTTCTCAGCCATCAAGACAATGCAAATCAGAACCACAGACTTCATGCTATGATGGCTATAATAAAAAAGATGAATAATAACAAGTGTTGGTGAGGATGTGAAGAAACCGGAAGCCTCATGTTGGTGGGAATATAAAATGGCGTAGTCACTTTGGAAAACAGTTTGGTAGCTCTCAAAAGATTAAACATAGTGTTATTATATATTCTATTTGTAAGTATATTCTCAAGAGAAATTAAACACGCCATGCAAACACTGAGGAACACTCAAGACAGCATCATTCATAATAGTGAAAAAGGAAACAACCCACTGTCAATCACATGATGATTGAATAAAAGAAAATGTGAAATGTTCATACAATGAATGTTATTCAGCAGTAAAAAATAAAATAAAACATTGGCCGGGCAAGATGGCTCATGCCTGTAATCCCAGCACTTTGCGAGGCTGAGGTGGGTGGATCACAAGGTCAGGCATTCGAGACCAGTCTGGCCAACATGGTGAAACCCCATTTCTACTAAAATGAAAACAAATAGCCAGGCATGGTGATGTGCGCCTGTAATCCCAACTGTTCAGGAGGCTGAGGCAGGAAAATCACCTGAACCCAGGAGGTGGAGGTTGCAGTGAGCTGAGATTTTGCCATTGTACTCCAGTCTGGGTGACAAGAGCAAAACTGTCTCAAAAAAAAAAAATTTTTTTTAAATTAAAAAAATGAAATACCGATACATACAACACAGATGAAACTTTAAAACATCATACCAAGTGAAAGAAGCCAGTCACAAAAGACCATTATATATGAAATTATATGAAATGTCTAGGCTAGGCAAATCTACAGAGACAGAAAGTAGATGAATGGTTGCCTAGGGCTGGGAGATGGGAGTGTGGCAGGAAGTGACTGCTAATGGGTACAGAGTTTCTTTTTCGGGTGATGAAAATGATCTAAAATTGACTGTGGTGATGCCTGCATACTTTTGTGACTGTGTTGCCCAGGCTGGTCTCAAACTCTGAGCTCAAGCCATCACCTGGCCTAATGGTACATTTATTTATTTTTTTTTTGAGACAGGGTCTCACTCTGTCACCCTGGCTGGAGTGCAGTGGCATGATCTCGGCTTACTGCAAGCTTTACCTCCCAGGTATAAGCAATCCTCCCAGCTCAGTCTCCCGAGTAGCTAAGACCACAGGTGTGCACCACCATGCCCGGCTATTTTTCTGTATTTTCAGTAGAAACAGAGTCTTGCCATGTTGCCCAGGCTGGTCTCAAACTCCTGAGCTCAAGTGATCTGCCTGCCTTGGCCTCCCAAAGTGCTGGGATTATAGGCGTGAGCCACCACGCCCAACCCTAACCATATATTTTCAATGGGTGAATTGAATGGTATATGAATCATATCTCAATAAAACTATTATATATCTACTTAAGAGTAAAAAGAATGGGAAAAATTGTCCCAAGTCTGCATATATCAGACACATTCTTTATTTTTGTTAACATACATGTACACCTAGACATGCATAGGCCCACTCCACCTCAACACATACGTACTCATAGGAGAATCTTAGAATGAGAGTGTTGTAAAAGACATCAGAAATCAGAAAATACCACCCTCTCTCTTCCTTCCCTCTTTATCTCTGCATATTTTAGATAAGGCCAAATGTCATACAGGAATTAATGGCATCTACTGACATTTTTACTTTCTGTCTCTCTCGCTTGTCATTTTCCCAGAAGACTATAAGCTATTTGGAAATTGGTGGTGTCTAATTTTTTTCTGCATCCTTTGTAGCATATAGAGTATACTAAGCACATAGCAGGCCCTTATGACACTAGTTTAATTGAACAGACTATGCTTCTCTGATATCCCTGAGGAAAAAGAAGGTGTCTCTAAAAGGAGGTGGGTAAAGGATGAGAAACATTAGGTCAAACCTAGCCTATCTCATCAGCCCTCCAAGGAAAAGACTCAGAGAATGTCTGAACTGGCAGAGGAAGAAAGTATTTGTAGAAAACCTACCTTGTTGGCAGCATGTTCACTGAAAGCCCTAATCACAGAAGTGACTAAAGGCCAGGGATGTGCCCAAGGTCATCATTAGTGGGGTCAGAGGCAGGTCCCAGCCCTGAGTGTTCTGATGCCTGACCCCACAGTCCTCTCTGATCCCACCTTTAACTTTTCTTTTGAGACAGAGTCTCTCTCTGTCTGTCACCCAGGCTAGAGTACAGTCGTGTGATCTCTGCTCACTGCAACTGCCTCCCGGGTTCAAGCAATTCTCCTGCCTAAGCCTCCTAAGTAACTGGGACTATAGGCACCCACCACCACACCTGGCTAATTTTTGTTTTTATTTTTTATTTTTTTTTAATTTTTTTTAATTTTTTTTTTGAGATGGAGTCTTGCTCTGTCATCCAGGCTGGAGTGCAGTGGCACAATCTCGGCTCACTGCAACCTCTCTGCCTCCCAGGTTCAAGTGATTCTTCTGCCTCAGCCTCCTGAGTAGCTGGGACTACAGGTACACGCCACTACGCCTGGCTAATTTTTTTATTTCTGGTAGAGACAGCGTTCACCATGTTGGCCAGGCTGGTCTCAAACTCCTGACCACGTGATCCGCCCTCCTTGGCCTTCCAGAGTGCTGGGATTACAGGTGTGAGCCATCGCGACTGGCCAATTTTTAATTTTTTTTGAGACAGAGTCTCACTCTGTCACCCAGGCTGGAGTGCAGCAGCACAGTCTCAGTTCACTGCAACCTCTGCCTCCTGGGTTCAAGCGATTTTCCTGGCTCAGCCTCCTGAGTAGTTGGGATTACAGGTGGCTGCCATCATGCCCGGCTAACTTTTGTATTTTTAGTAGAGATGGGGTTTCACCATGTTGGCCAGGCTATTCTAAAACTCCTGTCCTCACATGATCTGCCCACCTTGGTCTCCCAACATGCTGGGATTACTTGCAGGTGTCAGCCACCGCAGCCTCTGATCTCACCTTTCAATCCCATCTGACTACCCAGGACTGTGGCCTGGAATGTCCGGGTCTTGTTCCTGTCTGGACTGTCTCCGAAGTTCAAGGTGGTCAGTAAGCCCACGACGTGAGACCCTCGCCACTTCCCTGTGACTGTCCCATTCCGGGGACACAGGGTCAGCTGGCCAAAAGATCTCAAAAAAGAGACCCAGTCCTACAAGCAAAAGGAGGGTGGGAGACAGGTGAGATGAGATTAACAGCAAAAGCCTGTCTATGTTGGAAGGAAGAGTGGGTTTTGGAGGGGGTGGAACTTACCTGAGGGATGTCAGGGCTGCGTAGGCCAGTCCTGTGGGTAAGGAGGAAGTTGCCAAGGCCCAGGCCGGAGAGGCCAAGGAGCAGCAGGATCAAAGTGGCACAGACCAGAGGTGGGTGGTGGGCCAGACAAAGGTGCAGGTTGTGCACTGCCTGGCAGTTGCCCATGGGGAGCAGAGGGGCCTGGGCCTCCAGGGAGAGCCTGCTGGAGGACAGGGAGGGAGAATGGGACAAGAGCACCTCTTATACACAAAGAGAAGCGAAAGCTCAGAGAAGGCAAGGGACTTCCCGAGGCCTCATAGTTAGTGGCAGAGCCAGAACAAGAATCCAAGGTTCTCGACTCCAAAAGTTCACCTCCCTATACTGCTTGATACATATTTTCTGCATTTCATTTCTGAAGTAACCTAAGTGGAGGCAGAGCAGGGCACTCCGTGCTGGAAAAAGGAACCCGAAAGGGAGACTTCTCAGGTAGGGAAACAGGAAGCACTGTTCTGGGGCGAGGGTTTAGCTGAGGAACAGTTCCAGCCAGAGCCCAGACAAGGGAAGACTCTGGAGAAGAACTCCACTTCGCAGCTAAATGGCTAGATATGAATCCCTTTCTGCTACTCACTCTGTGAGCTTAGGAATCCGTGAAATGGGACTTCCGAGAACACCAAGAAATAAGGATTAAACGTGGCGGATGAAGCTGTCTGCGTGGTATTTAGCCATGCAGGAACTCAACAAATGTCCATTTCCTTTCTCTTTCCCGTAAGGATCCTCAAAACTAGGTAAGGCCAGGCAAAAAATACTGTGGGGGAAACTGAGGCCTGCGGACTTTAACATAGGAGGGGTAGGGCCAAGGTCTGGTCGAACCCCGCCTCCTGCTTCCACGCAAGGAACGACAGTCTGATGGGAAAGAACTTCTGGAAGGCAAGGAGATAAACAGGGGCCGGGGAGGAGGAGGGAGCCACGGAAATGCAAGTGTCACAAATGCTCACCCCTGTCCCGTCTCCCGTCCGGCTGGAAGGGGATTAAAGGGAGGGGAGGGCAGAACCTGGGGGTCCACGGCCGCCGGTGCACCTAAGCACCCCCTCCCCAGAAGGCCCCCCAGCCGAACGATCGCAACACCCTCGTCCCCTCCCGGTCTCGCGCGACGGATGCTCCGGCCACTCGCTCTTACCCCTCGGGGCCGGGCGGAGGCCGGCGCCCCTAGCGACGTCACGCACCGAGCCGCGAAGGGGCGGGGTCCGTGCTCAGCGCTTCCCTCCCCGGCCCACCCTACACTCTGCCTGGTCCGCATGCGCAGTGGCTACGCGGGCGCTCGCAGCGCCACTCCCCGCCAGGGTGGGGGTGTACCAAAGGGACACCCAATGAAGGGGCCACCGGGAAGAATAACCTCCGCGGAAGGGGAGGAAATGGGAGCGATGCTAGGGGGCGAGTGCTAGAGACGTCTCAGAAGCCCTCAAGCTCCCTCCAGAGAAACTGTGTGCGAGAACTGTCCCAAGAAGCTCGTCGCCGGCATTTTTGGGTTGCGCGTTCCCCACCCGCACCAATAGCACAGCCCAGCCGAGTCCGGGTTCCGGCTGAGGACTCCGGGTCCACTCAGCTCCGCAGAGCTGCAGTTTTAGTACTCTGTCCTCCGGGGCTGGGAGTGGTGTTTTGAGCTTTGCTCTTCTGTGCACCCCGATCATGCTTAATACCTGCACCTTTCTCGTCTACCCTAGCTTCTGGTGACTCTTTAAAGTATAGGTTCATGGAGCTGAAGAGCTGCTCAGTAGAGAGCATCTCATTTTACTTCTGCCCACGTTTTAGAGGTGAGAACATCTAACCTGAGGTAGCATGACACATGGAGCTAGGAACTCTGGGTTCAAATCCTGACTGTCTGCGCCCTCTCATCAGCGACAGCTGCGCTCTCCCGGGACTAAGTTTACCCCTCTGCTAAAGAGGATCATCCTACCTATCTCACTGGTTAGATCAGAAGCTTAAGGGGCAAAGTGTGGGAAAACATGGGCCCAGTGCCGATTGAGCACACGGGACAGATGCTACTTGAAACGGAATCTGTTTAATTTGACTGTGGCTTCCTTAAGGCAGAGACCATGTCGTTTGTATCACCAGCCACAAAAGTTTATGGCACAAAACCTTCGCATATACAGTCAAATGGTCAAATGATTTTTTTTTTTTTTTTTTTTTTTTTTTTTTTGAGGTAGTCTGCTCCTTCGTCGCCCAGGCTGGAATTCAGTGACACAATCATAGCTCACTGCAACCTGGACGTCTTGGGCTCAAGAGATCCTCCCACCTCAGCCTCCTGGGTAGTCAAGACATCTGGTAGTCGCACGCCACCCACCATGCCCGGCTAATTTTTACATTGTGTGTAGACACAATGGAGAAATTGCCAGGCATGTCTCCAACTCCTGGCCTCAAGCAGTCCTCCCGCCTCGGCCTCCCAAAGTGCTGGGATTACTGCATTAGCTACCACATCCTGAATAGTCAAATGATTTTTGACAAGGGTGCTGTGAACATTCAGAAAAGGACTGTGCATCAGTCCTTTTCTGTACATCAAAGGACACAATAGGCCGGGCATGGTGGCTCATGCCTGTAATCCTAGCACTTTGGGAGGCCAAGGTGGGTGGATCACCTGAGGTCAGGAGTTCAAAAACAGCCTGGCCAACATGGCGAAACTCTGCCTCTACTCAAAGTACAAAATTAGCCGGGCATGGTGGCGGGTGCCCATAATAACCCCAGCTACTCAGGAGGCTGAGGCAGGAGAGTCGCTTGAATCTGGGGAGCGGAGGTTGCAGTGAGCTGAGATCACACCACTTCACTCCAGCCTGGGCAAAAGAACAAAACTCTCTAAAAAAAGAAAACTCAAAAAACAACCCCCCAAAAACAAAGGACAACAGTGAAAAGGCAACCAACAGAATGAGAGAAAATATTGTCAAATCATATATATGATAAAGGGTTAATATCTATAATATATAAAGAACTCATACAGTTTAATAATAAGCAACTCAAAAGGTTAAAGGACTTGAAAATAGACATTTCTCCAAAGAAATATATACCATACTGTAGAAATGACCAATAACCAAATGAAAAGATGCTTAACCACACTAACCACTAGGTAAATGAAAATCAAAACCGAAATGAGATACCACCTTATACCCATTAGGATGTTGACTATCAAAAATCAGGAAATAGGCCGGGCGCGGTGGCTCAAGCCTGTAATCCCAGCACTTTGGGAGGCCGAGGCGGGTGGATCACGAGGTCAAGAGATCGAGACCATCCTGGTCAACATGGTGAAACCCCGTCTCTACTAAAAATACAAAAAATTAGCTGGGCATGGTGGTGTGTGCCTGTAATCCCAGCTACTCAGGAGGTTGAGGCAGGAGAATTGCCTGAACCCAGGAGGCGGAGGTTGCGGTGAGCCGAGATCGCGCCATTGCACTCCAGCCTGGGTAACAAGAGCGAGACTCCGTCTCAAAAAAAAAAAAAAAAAATCAGGAAATAACAAGTGTTAGTGAAGATGTGGAGAAATCGGAATACTTGTGCACTCTTGGTAGGAATATAAAATAGTGCAGCTGGCCCAGCACAGTAGCTCATGCCTGTAATCCCAGCACTTTGGGAGGTCGAGGCGAGCAGATTACCTGAAGTGAGAAGTTCGAGACCACCCTGGTCAACATGGAGAAACTTTGTCTCTACTAAAAATACAAAAATTCGCCTGGCTTGGTGGCAGGCACCTGTAATCCCAGCTACTTTGGAGGCTGAGGCAGGAGAATCACTTGAACCCTGGAGGCAGAGATTGCAGTGAGCCGAGATCACGCCACTGCATTCCAGCCTGAGTGACAGAGTGAGACTGTCTCAAAATAAAATAAAATGAAATAAAGTAAAATAGTGCAGCTTCTACGGAAAACAGTGTGGCAGTTTGTAAAAAAAAAAAAAAAAAAAAAGGCCTGTGTGGTGGCTGACACCGGTAATCCTAGCACTTTGGGAGGCCTAGGCAGGCAGTTTGCTTGAGCTCTGGAGTTCAAGACCAGCCTGGCCAACATGAAGAAACCCCCCATCTCTACCAAAAGTACAAGAGTTAGCCAGGTGTGGTGGCATGTGCCTGTGGTCCTAGATACTTTGGAGGCTGAGGTGGGAGGATTGCTTGAGCCCGAAAGGCAGAGGTTGCAATGAGCTGAGATGGTGCCACTGCACTCCAGCCTAGGTGACAGAGCGAGACTCCATCTCAAATAACAAATAAATAAATAAAAACTAAACAGAGTTTATTCAGTCAGCAATATTTTTAAGATTGCTGTGATCCAGGCACAAAATTACTATCTATGTAGCAAAAATTTTGTCAATGCTTCTACTTAAGGACAAGCCTAATTTGTGGGTTAAGGCATAGGACCCATACAGCATGGGAGGTCAAGAATTGTGAACTGCCCCTCATGATTCTTATGCTTTGGAATATGTTGGCAATAGATGCTCGGTGCCGCAAAGAAAAATTAGTGCTGAGACAAAGGATCTTTCAGCAACACAATTTTTACTTCCTGGACTGCAGGAAGGGTACTCTCGCTACCCATCATGCCATGAGAGTACAATGAACAAAGGAAAACACACAAATTTATCCCTTATGCATTTGGGGTCCTCCTTACTGCTGTGTCTGATCTCCATTGGCTGGAGCCAGACCTCACAATTTAAACTAAAACCCAATTGCCTAACAACTTAAAATTTTCTAAACAGGTAAAAGCAATGGAGAGCTGGGACATGCCTGTGAGAACGCCTAACACAGATGTCTTGGTTAAAGTACAAGGACATAGAATGTACTACGTGCCTGTAAGTATGGCATGTCTAACAACTACATAGGAGTTACCAATATATAGGTATAAGGTGGTATCTCCTTCCTTAGTTTGTTACATAATAACAAAATTATTAGCACACTTATTCTTTAACAAGAAAAGAAACTTTAGGCCGGGCGCAGTGGCTCATGCCTGTAATCCCAGCACTTTGGGAGGCTGAGGCGGGTGGATCACGAGGTCAAGAGATCGAGACCATCCTGGTCAACACGGTGAAACCCCATCTCTACTAAAACTACAAAAAATTAGCTGGGCATGGTGGCGCGTGCCTGTAATCCCAGCTACTCAGGAGGCTGAGGCAGGAGAATTGCCTGAACCCAGGAGGCGGAGGTTGCCGTGAGCCGAGATCGCGCCATTCCCCCCCAGCCTGGGAAAAAAGAGGAAAAATTTCGCCCAAAAAAAAAAAAAAAAAAAAGAAAAGAAACTTTAAAAAGGAACTTTTCTACTTCCCACAGAATAAGTAGGCATATTTGGGTAATGGTTCTTATAAATGACCATAATTGATATTTACTCATTCGGCCACACCAAGCAATTCTATGGACTAGTAGAGGCAAACTGGTTAGAGCAAGGAACTGCCTTGAGGCCCAGGAAAAAATGACTTACATAGAGAAAGTAAGTGGTAGAAGGAGAGCAGGACAAGAAACAAAATTAGTTGTGCATTATAATGTTCCAACAGTATACCAACATTTTTTGTTTGGTTTTGCTTTGTTTTTGAGACGAAGTTTTCACTCTTGTTGCCCAGGATGGAATGCAATGGTGCAATCTCAGCTCACTGCAACCTCTACCTCCCAGGTTCAAACAAATCTCTTGCTTCAGCCTCCCAAGTAGCTGGGATTACAGGTGACTGCCACCACGCCTGCTAATTTTTTGTATTTTTAGTAGAGATGGGGTTTCATCATATTGGCCAGGCTGGTCTTGAACTCCTGACCTAAGGTGATCCACCCTCCTCAGACTCCCAAAGTGCTGGGATTACAGGTGTGAACCACTGCGCCAGGCCAAGTATACCAACATTTTGATTTAATGCACTCAACAAGCCTCTAAAGTGGATGTCACTCTGGAAACCTGGCCCTTAGTTTAAGTCAGGGGTCCCCAACTCTGGGCTGTGGAGCCAGTACTGGTCTGTGGCCTGTTAGGAACTGAGCCACACAGCAGGAAGTGAATGGTTGATGATGGAAGCTTCATCTATATTTCCAGCTGTTCCCCATCCCTTTTTACCGCCTGAGCTCTATCTTCTGTCCGATCAGTGGTGGCATTAGATTCTCCTAGGAGCATGAGCCCTATTGTGAATGGCACATGCATGGTATCTAGGTTGCTCCTTATGAGAATCTAATGCCTGATGATCTCTCACTGTCTCCCATCAACACCAGATGGGACCATCTAGTTGCAGGAAAACAAGCTCAAGGATCCTACTGATTCTACTTTATGATGAGTTGTATAATTATTTTATCATACATTATAATGTAATAATAATAGAAATAAAGTACACAATAAATGTACTGTGCTTGAATCATTCCGAAACCATTCTTCCCTGGTGGAAACATTGTCTTCCATGAAACTGGTCCCTGGTGCCAAAAAATTTGGGGACTGCTGGTTTAAGTAATTTAACCAAGGTCACACATATATTGGGTGGCAGAAGTTGGGTTATGATTGAAGCCTGACCACAGCCTAGCATGTGGGAATAAGAAAGCCTGGTTGAGGCTTGTTCATTTGATAAGCGTCCGTTGGCTGCCAGGCTGTATTGTGGGCTGGGAATATGGTGGTGGACAAAGTATTCGTGATCTCTGGGCTCCTGAAACTATAATCTGGCTAGGGACTCTTTCCCTAGAAAAATGCATGTTCGCCTAATATTTTTGTTTATTTCTCTTTTTTATTTATTTACGTATTCTTTCTTTTTTTCTTTCTTTTTTTTTTTTTTTTTTTTTTGAGGCGGAGTTTCGCTCTGGTTGCCCGGGTTGGAGTGCAGGTGGCGCAATCTCAGCTCACTACAACCTCCGCCTCCCAGGTCCAAGCGATTCTCCTGCCTCAGCCTCCCTAGTAGCTGGGACTACAGGCGCGTGTCACCAGGCCCAGCTAATTTTTTTGTATTTTTAGTAGAGATGGGGTTTTGCCATGTTGGCCAGGCTGGTCTTGAACTCCTGACCTCAAGTGATCTGCCCTCCTTGGCCTCCCAAAGTGCTGGGATTACAGGCATGAGCCACCATGCCTAGGCCAGGAAAGACAGTCTTGAATCCCTGACACCACTCCTCTCCCACCCCCAGCAGTAGCTGCATGGCACAGAGAGAAACTGTGCACTTGGAAGAGAGAGAGAGCGCATGATCTAGGGGACTTGGAAGTGAACTCGGTGCTGCCCTGTCACAGTGGAGAGCAAAGCCATGCTGGACTCAGCCTGTGCCTGTCCAAGGAGGGAGCATTTGTATCAGCCTGGACCAGAGGGAATCGTCCATCCCAGTGGTCAGAACTCGAGTTGTGCCAAGCCTTGCCACTGTGGACTAAAATGCTCTGGGGTCCTAGGTAAATTTGAAAGGCATTTTAGGATAAAGGACTGGAACCTTTAGGCAAGTACTAGTGCTGGGCTGGGCTTAGAATCAGTAGACTAGGGTGGCACAGGACCTAGGTAGACACCAGCTGGGGTAGCCAAGGGAGGTATGCACCACCCTTCCCCAATCCTAGGCATCACTCACAGCAACGAGAGTAACTCCTTCCTTCTGCTTGAGGAGAGGGAAACAAAGAGTAAGGAGGATTTTGTCTTGCATCTTGGATACCAGATCAGCCACAATAGGATAGAGCACCAGGCAGAGTCATGAGGCCCTCATTCCAGGCCCTAGCTCCTAGATGACATTTCTAGACACATGCTGGGCCAGGAGGGAGCCTGCTGTCCTGAAGGGAAGGACCACTCCTGGCAGGACTTATCACCTGCTGACCAAGGAGCCCTTGGTCCGTGAATAGCCAACAGCAATACCCAGGTAGTATCTGTGGGCCTTGGATGAGAGTCTGAGTTGTGCTTCAGGGGAGGCTTCAGGGGAGGCCTGGCACATTCCCAGCTATGGTGGCTCTCGTGAAAGACTACTGCTGGAGAAAAGCAGAGAGATAAGTAAAGGGAACTTTGTCTTGCACCGTAGGTATCAGCTCAGCCACAGTGGGGTAGAGCACCAAACAGATGTTTGGGGTTCTTGAGTCCAGATCTAAGCTCTTGGACAACATTTTTGGACCTGCCGTGGGCCAGAGGGGGGCCCACTGTCCTAAAGGGTAAGTCTCAGGCCTGAGAACACTCACCACAAGTTGGCTTGAAGAGCCGTTGGGCTTTAAGTGAGTGTTCAGAACTCTCTGTGGGCAGAATTCTCTGTGGGCCAGTGGTGGTGGCGGCCACTGGGAGAGGCTCCTCTAACCATGGAAAGTGGGCAGTAGAGTGGGAAGAACTCTGTCTTGTGGTTTGAGTCCCAGCTTAGCTGCAGTAGAATACAACACCAGGTAGATTTCTAAGGTTTTTGACTCTAATCCCTAGCTCCCAGGCAGCATCTCTGGACCCTCCTAGGGCCTAGGGAAACTCGCTGCGCTGAAGGGAAAGATATAAATCTGACTGGTGGTCCCAGCTGCTGATTGTAGAGCCCTAGGGCCTTGAGTGATCATAGGTGGTATCTGGGTAGTGGTTACAGTGGGCCATGGGTGAGGCCCAGTGCTGTACTGGCTTCAGTATGACCCAGCACAGTCCCAGTGGTGGTGGTCATAAGAATGTTTGCATCATCCCACCCCTAGCTCCAGGCAGTGCAGCACAGAGACAGAGACTCCGTTTATTTGGGAGACAGTAAGGAAAGAGAACAAGAGTCTCTGCCTAGTAATCAGAGAATTTTTCTGGATCTTATCTAGGGCCACCAAGGCAATACGTCTGTGAGTCCACAAGAGCCACAGTGTTATTGGACTTGGAGCTCAAGTCTCTTTGAGCACCTGGAATGCCTTCCCAAAAAAGATGGGCACAAATAAGCCCAGACTGCAAAGACTACAGTAAATGCCAAACTCTTCAATGTGCAGACACTGATGAACATCCACAAGCATCAAGACCATCCAGGAAGACATGATGTCACCAAATGAACCCAATCAGGCACCAGGGACTAATCCTGGAGAAACACAGGTGTGACCTTTCAGACAGAGAATTCGAAAAAGATGTTTTGTGGAAACAAAGAAATTCACAATAACACAGAGAAGGAATTCAGAATTTTATAAGATAAGTTTAACAAAGAGATTGAAATAACTAAAAATAAGCAGAAATTCTAGAGTTGAAAAATGTAATTGACATGACATACTAAAGAATGCATTAGAGTTTCTTAATAGCAGAATTGATGAAGCAGAAGAAAGAATTAGTGAGCTTGAAGACAGGCTATTTGAAAACACATAGGCCGGGCGTGGTGGCTTATGCCTGTAATCCCAGCACTTTGGGAGGCTGAGGCAGGCAGATCATGAGGTCAAGAGATCGAGACCATCCTGGCCAACATGGTGAAACCCTGTCTCAAAAAAACACAAAAAACAAACAAACAAAAATACCCTAAAACTGGATATAGAGGAAACATACCTCAACATCATAAAAGCCGTATATGATGGACCCACTGCTAATATCATACTGAGTGGTGAAAACCTGAAAGGCTTTCCTCTAAGATAGAACACAACAAGGATGCCCACTGTTACTCAACATAGTACTGGAAGCCATAGCTAGAACAATTAGGCAAGAGAAAGAAACAAAGGGCATCCAAATTGGAAAGGAAGAAGTAAAAATTATTCTCCTTTGCAGATGGCAGGATCTTATATTTGGAAAAACAGACTCCACCAAAAAACTATTAGAACTAATAAACAGGGGGGCCTGGCGCAGTGGCTCACACCTGTAATACCAGCACTTTGGGAGGCCGAGGGGAGTGGATCACAAGGTCAGGAGTTTGAAACCAGCCTGACCAACATGGTGAAACCCCGTCTCTACTAAAAATACAAAAAATTAGCTGGGCATGATGGTGTATGCCTGTAATCCCAGCTACTCAGGAAGCTGAGGCAGGAAAATCGCTTGAACCCAAGAGGCAGAGGTTGCAGTGAGCCAAGATCCCACCACTGCACGTCAGCCTGGGTGACAGAACAAGACTCGGTCTCAAAAAAAAAAAAAAAAAAGAAAAGAAAAATTTTTTAATTAAAAATTAAGAACTAATAAATGGGACAGTCATGCCAAGCACCTTAATTCATTCTAATGGTGCAAATAATGGACACATATTCCTAGGGAGTGCAGGTCATCTCACTTATCACATATAGACAGAATGAAAAACTATTTTTTTTAGCCATATGATTATACTTTTTTTTTTTTTTTTTTTGAGACAGAGTCTAGCTCTGTCACCCAGGCTGGACACAGGCTGGAGTGCAGTGGCTCAATCTTGGCTCGATGCAACCTCTGCCTCCCTAGTTCAAGCAATTCTCCTGCCTCAGCCTCCCAAGTAGCTAGGACTACAGGCATGCACCCCCATGCATGGCTAATTTTTTTTTTTTTTTTTTTTTGTATTTTTAGTACAGATGGAGTTTTGCCATGTGGGCCAGGTTGGTCTTGAACGCCTGGCCTCAAATGATCTCCCCATCTCGGTCTCCCAAAGTGCTGGGCTTACAGCGTGAGCCACCAAGCCAGGCCAGTCAATAATAATTTAATTACATATTTTAAAAGAACTGAAAGAATATAACTGGATTATTTGTAAGACAAAGGAAAAATGCTTGAGGAGATGGATACTCCATTTACCGTGATGTGATTATAATGAGTTGCATGCCTATATCAAAAGTATCTAATGTACCCCGTAAGTATATATGCCTATTATGTACCTACAAAAATTAAAAATGAGAAATTTAAAAACAAACCAACAAACAAAAAACCTAGTGTGATACTGACCTAAGGGTAGGTAGATAAAAAAAATGGAGTCGAATAGAGAACCCAAAAGTAAACCCTCACACATATGGTTAATTGATTTTCAACAAGGTTGTTTAGGCCATTCAATGTGGAAAGGATTCGTATTTTTGACAAATGGTGGTGGTCTGGGGCGGGTGAGGGGGGAAATGCAAAATAATGAGGTTAGACCTTTTCTGTACCCCATATAGAAAGCTTAACTCACATACAAAAGTTAAATCAAAATGGATCAAAGATCTAAACTTAAGTGCAAAAACCATAAAAATCCTAGAAGAAAACATAGGGGAAATATTCATTATATTGTATTTGGCAATGATTTTTTAGATATGATACCAAAAGCACAGCTAACAAAAGTAAAAATAGATAAATGGGACTTCATCAAAATAAAAAGTTTTGTGCTTTGAGGAATACCAGCCACAAAGTGAAAAGACAACTCACAGAATGGGAGAAAGTATTTGCAAATCCTACATCTGATAATGTACTTGTACCTAACAAATAACTCTGGCTGGGCGCTGTGGCTCACACCTGTAATCTTATCAGTTTGGTGGGCCAAGACAGACAGATCACTTGAGGTCAGAAGTTTGAGACCAGCCTGGCCAACATAGTGAAACCTTGTTTCTACTAAAAATACAAAAATTAGCCAGGTATGGTGGCGGGCACCTGTAATCCCAGCTACTTGGGAGACAGGAGAATCACTTGAACCTAGGAGGCAGAGGTCGCAGTGAGCCAATATTGCACCACTGCACTCCAGGCTGGGTGATCGAATGAGACTCTGTCTCAAAAAAATAAATAAATAAAGAATTCTGATATATGCTACAACATGGATGAACCTTGAAAACATTGTGCTAAGTGAACGTGGCCAGACATAAACTATAGTCACATATTATATAATTCCATTCATAGGAAATGTCCAGAATAGGCAAATCTACAGGTAGACTAGGGACTGCCAGGGGCTGGGTGGACAGGGGAATAGGGAATCACTGCCTAATGGGTTCAGGGGTTTCCTTTGGGGTGATGAGAATGTTTTGGAGCTAGATCAAGGTGATGCTTGCTAACATTGTGAATGTACTTAATGCCACTGATTTGTACACTCAAAACTGGTTAAAATGCTAAATTTTATGTTGTATGTATTTTGCTACAATTTCTTTTTTAAAACTGAGCTTATTACTTTTTCTATTTTTTCCTTTTGAGACAGGGTCTTGCTCTGTCACCCAAGCTGTGAGTGCAGTAGTGTGATCATGACTCACTGCAGCCTCGACCTCCTGGGCCCAGGTGGTTCTCCCACCTCAGCTTCCCAAGTAGCTGGGACTACAGGCCCGCACCACCACACCTGGCTAATTGTTTTGAATTTTAGTAGAGATGAGATTTTGATATGTTGCTCAGACTGTTCTGGAATTCCTGGGCTCAGGTGATTCACACTCCTCAGCCTCCCAAATTGCTGGGATTATGGGCATGAGCCACTGCACCAGGCCTACTTTTTCTAAATATAAACTCCTCTTACTGTATCTTCATCTCAGGTAACAGTGTGATCATCTACCCAGTCTCCCAAGCAAGAAACCTGTGAGTCAGCCTGGACTCCACCCTCTGCCCTTATCCCACGCAATCTGTGCATCACACAGTCTTCCTGAAGCCTTCCCCGCCTCTCCATTCCTGCTGCCATTGCTTCCTTCAGGCTTTCTTTGTCTCTCATCAGGACTCAGCAGCGTCTCCTCGCTGCCTCCACTTTCTCTTCCATTCAATGCATCCTCCACAACGCCTGCTGAGTTTGTTTCCAAAAAGAGCAACCTCAAGACTCAGCTGCTCTGCCTGAAGACCTCTGCCGCCTCCAGCAGAAAGTTCCACCTTTTGAAACAGATATGATCCTCCAGCCAGGTGCAGTGGCTTGTGCCAGCACTTTGGGAGGCTGAGGCGGTAATCCCAGCACTTTGGGAGGCTGAGGCGGGCGGATCACATGGTCAGGAGATCCAGATCAGCCTGGCTAAGACGGTGAAACCCTGTCTCTAATAAAAATACGCAAAATTAGCCAGGTGTGGTGGCACATGCCTGTGGTCCCAGCTACTGAGGCAGGAGAATCGCTTCAACCCATGTTGGAAATAGATGCTCGGTGCCACAGAGAAAAATTAGCACTGAGACAAAGGATTTTTCAGCAACACAATTTTTACTCCCTGGACTGCAGGAAGGGTACCCTCACTACCCATCATGCCATGAGAGTACAATGAACAAAAGAAAACACACAAATTTATCCTTTATGCATTTGGGGTCGTCCTTACCGCTGTGTCTGATCTCCGTTGGCTGAAGCCAGACCTTACAATCTAAACTAAAACCTGATTGGCTGACAACTTAAAACTTTTCTAAACAGGTAAAAGCAATGGAGAGCTGGGACATGCCTATGAGCACGTCTAGCACAGATATCTTGGTTAAAGTACAAGGGCATAGTACTTGGTTAAAGTACTACGTGCCTGTAAGCATGGTATGTCTAACAGCTACATAGGATAGGGCTTAACAAAGTTATTAGCACACTTATTCTTTAACAAGAAAGGAAACTTTAAAAAGGAACTTTTCTACTTCTCACACCCAGGAGGTGGAGGCTGCAGTGGGTCAAGATCATGCCATTACACACCAGCCTGGGTAACAGAGCGAGGCTCCATCTCGAACAAACAAACAAAAAAAGTGGTGGTGTTTGTCCAAGATAATGGTGCTACTGCTCTGTCAGTGACACATGGCGTAGTCCCAGCAACTTGGGAGGCTGAGGCAGGAGGATCGCTTAAGCCTAGGAGCTTGAGGCTGCAGTGAACTGTGATTACACCACTGCACTCCAGCCTGGGTGACAGAGCAAGATCCTGTCTCAAAATTAATGTATTATTATTATTATTAATTTTTTGAGACAGAGTCTTGCTCTATCACCCAGGCTGGAGTGCAGTGGCACAATCTCTGTTCACTGCAACCTTCACCTCCCAGGTTCAAGTGATTCTCACGCCTCAGCCTCCTTAGTAGCTGGGACTACAAGCACACACCACCACGCCCAGCTCGTTTTTGTATTTTTAGCAGAGACAGGGTTTTGCCATGTTGGCCAGTCTGGTCTTGAACTCCTGACCCTAGGTGATCTGCCCGCCTCAGCCTCCCAAAGTGCTGGGATTACAGGTGTGAGCTACTATGCCTGGCCTATTACTTTTAAGAGATCCTTCAAAACCTGTCCTTAACCCTTCTTTCCAGCATCATCTCTCATTTTTCACT